ATTTTTATAATCGTTGATTATTTGTGTTTGATTATGGTGAAACTGGCGATATGGGCATGGAGAATCTGAGGTTTTTATTTGGCGGAAAGTGAGTGATTGGATTGTTTTGGCGATGAAAAGTTGAGAGATTTGATTGTTTGGCCATGAAACGTTGAGATATGAGAACAAAGAGGTGAAAGATTCTTTTGGGGCAAAGAGGCAGCTTTGATCTAACATAATGTGTTGCTAATGTATATGGAGTTCTATGTATTGAACTAACACTTTATACTACGTACAACCAATATAGGGCACATTCTCTCAACAACCAACAACTAGCTCTTGAATTCGAATTTAGTTAGAGAAGGACCTGAATGTCTTGGAGATGCTTGCGAACAATCAAGAGAAGTAATGTTTTCTTATACTTTATGACATTATATGTATAAGTAATGCTTGTAAAGTCACGTTTTTTTTTTTCAATGTGTCACAAAATTTCTCTGTATTGTACTAACACTTTAAACTCTGCAAAGCCTTTGGAGGACGACTACTCTCAGACTCCAGCAACATTGTCTCCAACACTCTCGAACTCTAATGTTGTTGAAGAAGAACATGAGTGTCTGGTGCTTCCAAAAAAACAAGAAAGTTAATGCTTTTGGTTATAATACATGTATAAGTAACTAGTACATATTTGTATTAATACTACTTATTGCAAACTGAAGTTGTTTCTGACCAAAGGTCGTCTGTTGAAGAGGTTCTCTATTTGTGAATCTTATGAAATTCTTGTTTTGATGATGCATAATACTAATAAATAATCTGCTAAAAGTGATGCATTATATGTCATAAATATATTTTACAAACAATAAACTTTTTAAAGATCCGAAATCCTAAGCAAAATCGGATTATCTAAATTAGTCAGCCCATTATAATACTAAAATCGTTGACAAATGGTTCCACTTATTATCCATTTCGTGGCCCACATTATAGAGCCCACCAATATATTTGATAAATCTGAACACACGTGCAAAAACATATTCAGCCTCTCCTAGAGGTAATTCTGTCTTCTCACCGCCGCATTGCTCTATTATTATAACAGTAAAACATGCCTATTTCTCTAAAAGGCTATAAAACTAAATAGTAAACTACATATTTTGCCAGTTGTCTTTGAAAATGAAAATGTGCTTATATTCCTAATAAACCCAAAAATAAATTAACTTACAAGTGTGTGCAAGTGTGAGAGAATCTGAAATCCTTAACTTGTGGATGAGAATTCCAATTCTATCCCTTTCCCTCTTTTCCTCTCTCTCACACATACACAGTTGAGCTCAAATCCAGAAGAAGAAACACAAGTATCAGAGAGTTTCCATTGATTAATTCAGACACAAGAATCTGTTAAAGTGACACAAAACATTGAAAGAAAGAATGATTTTAACAGTGAAACTTGTTCACCCTCTCAATCACTCTCTCTCTTCCTCCATTCCATTTCCATCAAGTACACTCTGCTTCTCTCTCCCATTCTTGTATGTTTCGAACCAAGAATCAACCAAAACATTGTTTTTTTTTTAATTTCAAATTTGCAGGAACAAGGCAACACAAGCCGTACCGAAGGTCCGGTAAAAGGGTCATCAGATCAGAGACCGTCGCTTCTCCGGCGCCGGTGAGCTACGAAGGAAGACGAGTTTTACTTGGATGTCTCCTCGCCGCCGGTTAGAGTCTTTTCCTTTACTAATCAGTTCTTTGCATTTCCAGTTAAGCTAGTTTTGAATCAATTTGTATCAAAACCTCTCAAGAAGTTCGTTGTTGTCTGAATCATTTACAGGTTCTGGGATTCTGTTAACTGATTCAGCTGAGGCTGTAAGCACCAGTAGAAGAGCAGTAAGAAGAATTCATATATCTATACATACATTACTTTGTTCATGAGTCAATTGATCAATCTCTTACATACTCTTCTCTGCAGCTACGAGCATCCAAGATACCGGACAGCGAACTCACGACTCTGCCCAATGGTCTCAAGTCCGTACATTTTCCCTTTACTTCATACCCCTAAGATCATGATGCATTCATACATTGCTGAAAATCATGTTTTCGAGACACTCAATATGTTCCAATCTCAGAAGTTGCCTTACTCCACTCGAAATAGTACTCATATCGGAAAAAGGATTGAAAGATCATAAGTTTGGTTTTGCATTATGTTTCTGTTGTTGCAGGTACTATGATATAAAGGTTGGCAATGGAGCAGAGGCTGTGAAAGGATCTCGGGTCGCAGTACGGTTGTGAATACGTTTCCTGGTTAACTTTTGACATGTAAAAAAGCTTACGGATTTAACAAGCCTCCATGCTTAGCACAAAGGGATTGTGGTGCAGGTTCACTATGTTGCAAAATGGAAGGGGATAACATTCATGACAAGTCGACAAGGACTTGGTGTTGGAGGTGGAACGGTCAGTTTTAAGGATACCTCACAGAATTCACCACTGTAGTTGAATATGCGAGGATCCTTAACCGATAACATGGAATTTTTGCAGCCTTATGGGTTTGACGTTGGGCAATCAGAGAAAGGGAATGTTCTGAAAGGACTTGACCTTGGTGTTGAAGGGATGCGTGTAGGCGGTCAGGTTAGTTCTTGAACCCGACAGGCTTCATAGAGTCAGACAGCTCAGACTCAAAAGTCTTGTTTTGCTGATCCCTTGAGATTTATACAGAGATTGGTGATTGTTCCTCCCGAGCTGGCTTACGGGAAGAAAGGAGTGCAAGAGATTCCTCCAAATGCGACAATTGAGGTAATCAAGCTATGCCGTTAAAATTGAATCGGTTCGAGTTTTGCTAGCTCCTATAACGGTGTTCATTCTTTTGGACCTTTCTTTTGCAGCTCGACATTGAGCTGTTATCAATCAAGCAGAGTCCTTTTGGGTATGTGAGATCATTTGTCTAAACCCGGTAAACTCTGATCGATAAAACATTCCTTGAACCTAATTTTTTCGGTTTTATTCTGCAGGACGCCAGTGAAGATCGTTGAAGGCTAAGAGACTAATGAGAAGCAAAAATTGTACCCAAGTCTGTACAATCCCCCAAATGTTTAAGACGCCAGAGTAAAATTGATCAGAGCTATGGAAGATTCAACTGTATTAGAAGAATCTGTTTATGGATAATACCAGCTAGTCCGGTTTCATAACTGCTGCTCATCTCTTATTCCTATATTCGTACACTTTTGTGGTTTGCAAAACATCAAATCAATTCAATCCCATAAAATGTTAAGATACTTTACTTATGGTTAAAATTAAGATCCAGGCTGGAACCTCCATGCTCGTAGTTATCTTGGACTGTGAGATCTAGATAAAGTTACAAAATGGGTGTTACAAAATTCGTACCTTCTTAATGGAAAATTCCTACCAAGCCCGATAGGAGGGTTGATCTAATACATCAGTGATTAAAAGTTGTAGAGGCCAAGGGATTAGCAGGTGTCTTTGCCTGACCGCCTCTTGCATTAGCTGTCCCATGCCCGAATGGATTCCTGGCGTTTGCTGCTTCTGTTACCGCGGCTGACTTCTTTATCTTCAAAAACCACAACGTACATACAAAGTTAACAAGGAAACTTCCATATATAAGTTTTTCTTTCTTTCTACAGTTGCATAACCTAATACTGATTGCTAGGATTACTTAAAATCATGTGTGCTTTTACTTGAGAACTTACAGCGACAAGTCTCTCTTTGTGAATTTCTGTTGTCACCTGCAAAACATCATCCAAGAAAAACAATCAATGAAGTTAGAAGCTATCTTGTGTGAGTAATAGTTCCCTGTTATATATTGGACAAATTGATTAGACAACAAATATGTAAACGATTCTTACTGGCTTTCGAAATGTCTTGATCTCATCACTGCTAAAACCAGGAGGCCTGATATTCCAATTTCTTTCTACATTTAAGGAAATGAGATACCAAGAAGAGATTAATCACTGTAACTGGAAACAGAAACCAAAAGAAAAAGAGCAGACACTATCAATCAGAACTAACCAACATGGAGCAATATGTCCTTAGCCTCTAGTGTATCTGACTTTCGATGCTTAGCTAAAGAACAGCCAAACGTTGTGATCTGGATAAAAGGAAACACAAAGAGCAGGAGTTGGAGAAAAAAGCCCATCAGTGAATATATTTTTTCCTCTCTCAATTCTATCCATTCTATCACGATATTCACATAAAAGCGTGTTAGAAAAACAAAGTGATGTGAGCTACTTACTGACTCCACAAAGTCTTCAGCAATATCAGCAAGGATGTCTTCAACCTCTGGATCCAATTTCTCTGTTGGATCAATCTGTGGATAGGCAAGGCATATCAAATTCAGGGAAGAAATCAATGCAAAACGTGCAGAGAGCTCGAGTGCAGAACACCATCTAAGCACAAGCAGCCCATATAACTAGATATCTATGTTATTGCTGAATTTGGTCAATGCGGCAGTAAGGTGAGCCAATCAACCAGAAAATAAAACTTACACAAGGCAACAATAACAAATTCACTATGCTTTTTGGCTTTCTATTCAAAGTAATTGAAAATCACTCACTAACAAATACATTTCCTTTCTCTATAAGAGATCTATCCAAGTGGGAGACATCAATCGTACATTACGTGAAATCAAGCCGTGAGAGTGAAAATTCTAATCTATACCATTGTCAATATGCAAAATGGATTACCCAAAGTTGCGAATATAGAGAGAGCTCAGTGGATACCTGCTGCAGTAGCTCATGGATGCTTCTTTTTCCCAGGACACGATCATCAGACTCCTCATTCTCTACTGAAACTGTTTTAGCTTGGGTTCCTGGTTGAGGCACAGGAGGCTGGGTGGACATTGCCAATGAACTAGCTTTCTGAGTTACCAACCCTTGGACCCGGGTCGGTTGATGTGGGTGAGGTAAAGGCTGCTGCGGAGATCTCGATTGTTGAAGTTGTTCTTGAGACTGATGTTGTCGCTGAGAATGTTGTTGCTGAGGCTGTGAAGTTGCTGCTGACGTGGAAAGATGTTGCTGAGGAATATGAGATCTCTGTTGCACGGAGGAAGAATTTACTAGCGGTCTATACGAAGGAGGTGGCAAAGGCGGCTTCCCTTGGGCAGAAGATGATAACCACGGTTGATTAATGGCTTGCAAGCTTTGTTGTGCTGCACTGGTAGATTGGACACCAGGAGAACCAACTGAAGGTCTCATAAGGTTATGTACTTGGAAGTTCTGCCCAAAGCAATTAGGGATTCAGGGTTTGCAAACAAAGTTCATTAATAATTTTCTTAAAGGAACCCAAAATAACAAATGAAAAAACGATTGTTATGCAAGAGAGTCGATTAAAAACTTGATATCTTAGTACTTCAAACGTTTCTCAACACACAAGGCAAATTTTCTTCTTTCCAATGAGCCACAAAGCGGATTTCCTAATTATACAAATGCATAATCTTATAGAAATCACAAGAACAGTTAAAAACACCTACTTGAGGAACAGGCGCTTGGCTAGTTGGGGATGAAGCTGGCCTTAGAGACGACTGAGCCGGTCTCTGCTGGTGCTGAGCCATCCCACTTGGCCGCATTTGGGAGCCTGAGCCAAGCGTCCCCATCATCCCAATTCCCTGCGTTCCTTGCATCAACCTAGCCTGAACACACAAAAAGTTTGGTATTTTCTTGTACCTTCTCAATTCTCTTTAAGCTATAACAAACACAAATCTTTGAAACCTGGCACATATGAGAGAAAAATTCACCTGTGGGACACTTGCATTGGACGTAGCTTCTGACATTCCGACTGTTCCACGACCCAATCCGCCGTATTGCTGTCCAAAAGAGCCCGGAAAAGCAGAAGGCGAAGGCTGAGAAGGTGAAGGAGCGGGACTCGGAATTGGGGAAGCTGGAACGCCAATCGCCATGCCACCTCTTTGCTGTCCAGTAATCGGTA